ATTTATTGTATTATGCGAATACATTGAGTAATTTTCATAATAATGTACCTAACTCTCGGAAATACAATTTATAAAACAAATTTAATCATAAAAAACTGAAAAAATAAATCAGAAGCTTATGTTTTATGTGATTAAGGCCATATGTTATATTCAAAATATACCTAGAACTAATATTTTTATTTTATTTTATAATATTATATAAAATTAAACTTTTTTACGAATTGATCTATACACAATGGACGCTTTTTCGTCTATAATTGTTTAATATTATATTACGCGTATAAGTAAATATTTTTTCATCGGGTACCTATGTTATTTTATTTTCTGAATAAATAATGATAAGTAAATAACACATAACTAGTAAGTAACTTCACATTCCATCATAAAAGTTTTCTATAATGTATGTTATCCGTTTTAATAAAATATCTAACATGTTTATAATTTTCTTAGTAATTGTATTATTTAAAATTTAACAATGCAATAAAACAAATAGTGTTTGGCAATAAAAATATGAAATAAAAATTTAAAATGAATTGTGATCATTGAATTTCATAATGCAGAACATCAATGGTTTTCAAACTATGCTATCGAAATATTTGATACAAACAAATATATTAATTTATAAAACATAACAATAGATTATTTTAAGTATTTTCATCAATTTTTATCCTTAAATTTTATGAAAAAATGTTGAAAAACTCAATAAATAAGTTATAAACTACATAAAGATAACGCAATGGAAGGCACGCTAAAGTGTTTATTATTATTATTATTATTTAAAAAATCTCCTGACTGAAAATTTACAATTATGGCGCTTTATAGTAGATATAACATACAGTAGTTACACTATAGTGTAATCTAGTACGCTTTAGATAGAGTTCAGCAGATATGAGAAATTTTTGGATATATTGACACTGAATAACAATTATTTACAATTGATTTGGATAGGTATGAAGTCAATATCAAAAACATAATCTGTTGCTCTACCATATTGATACTAATATATCATACTATACTCAAAACGTGTGAGCGCTAATTTTATAGATAACTAGCTATCTCACGTGCACTTCGTTGCCCGAACAAAATACATCCATGTTAAATTTTGTTGCCTAATACTAACATTTAGCGTAAGGCATGTAAACAAATAATATTTTTGGTTTTCTGACTAGGTATATAGATGATATTTCTGAAATATCATCTTTACATAGCTGTTCCACCATCCATCGTAGCTTGTTTTAAACCATTTATAAATAGTATTTTTTTCATCATTAGTTTTTTTTTTTTGAACGACCCAAATTTAATTTCCTTTTTTGGACCAAAAATCAACAACTCGTAAGGTTTCATTAGTGTGAACTAAAAACAACGAATAAGTTGTGTACTATTATATTACAACAACTATTCATTAAAATACTAATTTTGAATAATAATTTATCATTGGTAACACAGATGAAAAAAAATATCTTTATGTGGGTATTTTCTAATTGTTAAAAAAATGAATAACTCGATTTTTCATTAGCTCGTATAATCAGAAATAGGTTTGAAACTTACTCCACGATACATTCTTGAATTAAAAAAAAAAAAATTCAAGATTAGGCTGAGTAGAAATTATTTCCATTTATATATATATATATATATATATATGTAATGTATACGTATATAAGGATATTATAAGTTATTTAACATAACCTTCACTGTCATACACAAGAATTCTAAGGCTAATATAAACAAACACATAGGTCTGGAGTATTACCATTGTTGTTCCAGTTTTAATGTTCTGCGATAAATGAATGTTATTTTTTAATGTATTTATTTTTTTTTTTTTTGTTTTGTTTTGTTATGTCTCAACTAATCTTCTACATTATAATTATATCTAGTGATAAAATGTTTTTAATTTATTTTAAACATTTAAAACATTCGCTCAAATGTGCCACAAGACTATAAATCAAAACCTATATGTTTAATTTACTGTGTACCTATATTTATATTATATGCGTTTGTTTACATTTGTACTGAATGCTTATACCTTTTATATAATATAGTACCCATGGTTTATAGCTGTTCCAACTAAATACAACAATTTGAAACATCTCTTAAGTAGACAGGCAAAAAGTAAATAAAATCATCGGCTAGTTGATAATTAATATTATAATGTTTTAAAATTTAAGCATGTATTAGAATGATATTTAAAAAAAAAATTGATTAGTTAGACAATTTAATATATATATATATTTAGACTGAAAAAACAGAACAAGCATGATTAATAAAATATAAAAATACAATTAAATTAAAGTTATAATTTTTAATTAACGTTAGAAAAATATTTAAGGATCATATTAAAACTATATTGCGAATTCATAATTTTATAAAAGTTATTAAAATATAATGAATGGTGACTAATGATGTAAGTAGTAATTATAATTGAAAAATACTTTATAAGTCCTGAGTTATTTCATCCAATAGTAATCTTACGCCGAGTACATACAGAGACAAAAAAAACTGTGTTTATTAACAAAGTTTAAATATTTTTGAAACAACATTTTGGATTTTTAAGAATAAAATTGTGCCCTAAACAGTACCGGTAAAAATCAAAAGTTATGTGTTTTTTGTTGTTATTTTTTGAGGCGAAAATTATCGAACGTGTGTAGAATTTTTTTTTTTAATATCTAACAAAAATTTATTTTGGGATTTCGTAAGTAAGGCGATAGGTCGATAAATTAATTAATTTATACATACATAGGTATTCTCTTTGAGTTTGATGTAATTATACTTACGTTATTTGTCATTATTGTTTATTACCAATAGTTTTTTGCCGTGTGTTCACATTTTTTATACATATTTAAATGAGTTATTTATCATGAAATATATTATATAACTAATAATATGTTTTATAATTTATTTGTATGATTATTTTTTTTTATAAATTTGATATTATTTTAAATTTACCATAAATATTGTTGTTTAAATAAATGTTATTTATTTTGGATAAAATTGAAGAACTTTTACTTGAATAACTCATAATAGTTTACAAAAACAATTAATTATTAATTATTTATTACCAGTAATCTAAATAGTTGTCTAATTAATTTGAAAAAATTTAAAATAGCCTATACACTTAAAAACTCTACATAATTACTCGTTTAAGTCATGTACATAATGTATGTATACTCATATAGTGTTTAAAAATATTTATTTATGAGTTACATTAGACATTAATAAAAATAAGAAATAAGAACAACCAATACAATTTTATTAAATCACTTGGTGTCCATAAATAAATCATAATAAACATTAAACGTGTACCTAACCTAGGTTAATGTTAGGTAGCATTTTAATTGTGATGTTTAATGGTAATGTTTATGTCGCTATAGTTTTATCTATAGTACAGTAATTTATTGATGCAACGGTAGCGATATATTTATACTACCATTGTAATATTAACTTGACTTTTTATTTTTATCGGAACATTAACCAAAAACACAAAAACTGTAAAAACTATTATTATTCTCTTTATTTAGGTTAGGTGGTTTTGCATTTTATATAAATATATATAGTATACGAATATATTATGCATATGGCTGACTTAGCTCTAGCGTGTGCTTTCCAGAACTTTCTCTTCAAATTGATGACATATTTAGTACAATATATCAGTTGATTTGTTTTTAAAATAATATGTAGAAACATTATCTTTAACCATTCTTATATATTACTATTTCAACTAATACACAATTCTGTGGTAATATACACATTACACATATTAGGTTGGAATAATAATATGTTATAATATTACTTCCTGTAAAATATCGTATCATGTAATTATTTTGTACCATCAATGAAAATCGATTTAAAATGTCACACATTTGACATTATAGATTAATCTAAGTAGATATAACACATAAATAATTATTAGTTTCTTGTTTCTTGCCAACTTTCAAAGTATAAAATATAACCCAAATACTCAAAATGATTAAAATAGAACTTCAATATAATTATTTTCAAAATAACAAAATACAAACATTAATATTTGAATATCATTAACAAAACGATAAATTTGACGGTGTTTCATTTTGATGAAATTAAAAAATATTTAATATAATTTTATCTTTTTATTTGTATAGAAAAGACGATTTACTGTTGAGCAATTATTTAGATATATTGCACACGAATTCTTTGCGCAATTAGGAAAATAATTATATATTTGACGTTTAAACGAAGTATATATTGTTATTTAAAGCAAAAAATTACAATGAAACAATAAAATGTTCATGAAAGTTTCCTCAAAATTATTATTTTGATAACAAAATACAACTATTTAACACTCAGCTGTCACCTATCATTATTTATTTATTTATGAATTTATTGCAGTTTTGATAATGCTTATAATACAGAGTTTGTAAAGTGTAAACAATTTTTTAAATTTAATGTTTTTTTATAAAATAGTTGTACAACAAAAATACTCGTTACTATATATAATACCACGGAAATTTATTAGTGGATTTTTTATAACTAACTCCTATTTATAATTTCACATCTTAACTCTATAGAATATATTTTTTTAATTTTTTTTTTTATGAATGGGTACTTTAAAAAATAGTTAATTACTAAAGAAAAAAAAATATGAACATTATTTCATACCATTCCATCAGTCTTTGCACACTGCCTTAGTCGTTCATACATTATACAAGTTGGATCAATTACAAATCAAATGTATTAGAAAGGTATTTGAAAAAATATATAGGGTTACTAATTGAGGTAAAAAAAATCTAAAAAAATCTAAAATAAAAAAAAAACCAATAAAAAATAGATATAATTCGTTTTTTGCAGAACCCAATTGTTAATTTTTTTTTTTTTTTTTGAATAATTTAATGTCTTAAAACAAAATTCAAAATCTGGCTGACCAATCATATTTGTGTATACTGTTTACCTTTAAAAAGTCTGTAGTATAATCTAATAATAACGATACTTTATATTGTTCTTGTATATGTATGTATTGGTCTCCGAAGAAATGCGATTCAAAACGGACACATCAAATCCACCGGAATCCATTTGCAGTTTGCCATGCCAAAAAGGCCAAGCTAAGCAGTATCTGGAGGGCGAAAAATGCTGTTGGCATTGTTTCAACTGCACACAATACCAGGCAAGACATTGCTTTTAATGAAGAAAAATAAATAATAACTCGATACCACTTTCATAGCTCATTAGTAGATGTATTCGTCAACCATAAACATTGCATCAGGCATAAAAATAAATATGAAGTACCTATTTGATATAATGCTACTTAATCATTTGTATTCTTATAACATCATTTTAGTGTAAATGCCAATACTTGCTACGCTTGTTTTTTGTTATTTAAAAAAAAAAAAAAACCGCATGTGAGGATATCGTATTTTTAAACTCTAAACTCTACCTACGCGAATAATTAAACATTTTAATTTAGTTTTTTTTTTAGGTTTTTTGTTTTAATATTCTACATAGGTTTTTCACGATGCAAATAATATGTTTTTTTCCTATTGTTTGTTAAATAAATTGTATTGTTCTGAAACAAAATGTCAAACAGTTATTTAACCACACATAGTTTTACTAAAGAGTTATTGGACAATTATGTCTATTTAATAATATTAGTGCTCTCCCATTCAAATATTATATCCACTAAGATCCATTAAATTTTTTATTTGACAAAATTAATTTGAGAATAAAATCTTCACAATTTTAGTTCCATTTCGATTTAATGTTTAAGCATCTAAGTGGTTATTATACATATAAGCTATTTTTAGAATTAATATTAAATCGACATTTTATTAAGTTAATAACATTTTTTTTTTTTTTTCAGAAGATTATTCTTTTGATATCTGAAACTTTATTCAACAGACTTCTTATACGTCTCTTGACAACCTATTTTTTTTAAATTAACAGTTACTTCTTTTATAATAATCAGCCTTTAAGTTTTATTTATATATTTTTATACCTGATACTCTCAAGTTCATAAAAGCGTCGCTTACATTATTTATAATATCACATACCTCTAATTTATTAAAATGGTAAAAATATTATCCAATTAATTATTACAAATTAATTATTTTTGATCCGTTATATTTGATAATAACGACTGCAAACATAATATAACAATTCTCAGAAATACTATATGATTATAGTTTGTTATTTTCTACTTTATTTCATTTTTTTATGATAGTGTATCATTGAAAACTATAAGCTATCATCAAAAACAAATATTTTATACTATTTTACAGTATCGTATCACTAATCGGCTATTCTTACAAAAATCTATAAATACTCATACTCAAAATAAATTAAGACAAAAATATTTTTTAAATTATTTCAAACATTTGTAAATATACATAGTTTCAACAATTGAAATCATTTTCATCATGACTACCTCATTAATAAAAATATAAATATTAACTGTAATTATACCTTGAAAATTTAATAATTTTACAAATAACTTGTAATAATTTTAATAATTTCATATTTTTAGTTTCAGTAAGAAGAACTTACTGAATGATGATAGTTTTCCACCTAATATTATTTATAGTAGAATGTAAATAGATATTTTTATGCATAGTACTCCACAAGAGTAAATATATACTTGTTAACTTTAAAATAAACCATTGCACTAAGTCAATTAAAAACAGGAATATTGTAGCTAACTGAAAAATATTATTTTTAAGTTAGGATAAATATATATTTTGTTTAAATTTTCATTCACTTCAAATCCTTAAGTTATTAGGTATGTTTTTATAAGAGGCAACTATTTAGAAAAGTTATAAACATTTTGCAAATAATATTTGTTTATAAATTTTATGATGTGATGAGATTAGTTAAGTTACGATATAACAAAGTATTTATTTAGATGAATAATACCTAAAATAAGAATTTATCTTATACATATCTATAATAACATTTAAATAGGCACTTATCGTAAATATTTTGATATTTATACCTCAAAATCATTAATGTACTTTTTTTTTTATATATATATCTCTAAAATTAATTATTTATTTTGCTCTTATTTTGGTTTATTTTCAAGATATTCGAATTATCTAACAAGGACGTTACCAAACAATTTATTTATTCCATTTTTTAATTGCTTATACATTTATTGTTGTTATCAATGCATTCGTCCAAATAAGCGTAATTTGTTTATCAAAGTTACACATAGCTGTACTTGATACCTGTATATTATTGAAATGTAGAAAAAATAACATTACAATATAATAAAATTAAACATGGATATATATATATATATACGAGTATATAAGTAGTGACCAACTTTAATATACTCTTATAAGCTTCATTGATTAAAACGATACTAAGAGCCAAAATGTGTTTTTGAACACATTTTATATAACTTGATGAATTTTATAAATGTGTATCAAAAAAATTAAAATTCATTATAACAAGTAGATTTTTATTTTATAAATAAGAAGAGATGCGGTTCGTATCTAACGATGACAAGAGCTACAAGTTAGCTACTCCTGATATATATCATTAGTTATAACGTATCAAATTTGAAACTATTGTTTTAATTAAATAGGTTACAGTCAAGAAATTTAGTTGGCTATAAATTCTATACCTATGTATCTACACCCATTGACCAAAAGTGTGATAATAATATACGTGACTACCTTTCTAGATCCGTTCACCCACCGACGACACCAGATGCGAAGTTTGTCCCGAGGGCACGTTACCCGACAGTAATCGTCAACGATGTTTGGAAATACCGGAAGCATTTTTACAAGCTGGGAGTAGTTGGGCTATTGGGGCGATGACACTGTCAGTGGCAGGTGTTGCCATCACTTTGCTAGTGGTTTCCGTGTTTATCAAGCACAATCATACACCGATCGTAAAAGCCGCTGGCAGGGAAGTTTCGTATGTACTTTTGTCCGGGATACTGCTATGCTATCTCATCACGTTTGTACTCGTACTCAAACCAACTGACATTGTATGCGCTGTACAAAGGTAAGTCCAAAATTATATAGAGTGCATTTAAATCTATCTCGATCAATGTTTTTATCATATCTTAATTTTAACTTAGTGCATAATATCCATAATAGAAATAACGTGTCATCGCGGGACAATATTTTTCATATGTCACTCTGTTTCTGAGTTTGAAAATTTAAACATTTATTTGTATTTAAGAAGATATTACACGTAGTTTTAATATACTATTTTTTTAAAAAGCATATTATAATCAAATGTTTGAATATAATTTTACTGTGTAATTTTTATTTAAAACTTTGATCAAAAATGTATGGTATAATGAATAATAAAAATATCCATATGTTTTAATTATATTAATTTTAAAAAATACCACATTATTCATGTAAATATATTACATATTGTAGTGTAAATAGAAAAAAAAATAATCTATAGTAAAATTGTCTATAGTAAAATTTTCTAAATGAAAATAATAAATGCTTGTATGATGACTAGGAGGAGTATTTTAAAAACACAACATTAATGTACGACATTGAAGTTTAGATTACGTACCTCACTATTAAATTTTAAAAGAAATTAGCAATAAAGTTTGTTGTTTTTATTTTTAATTCCCATGACTAGAATTGAATTTTGCCTCACAAGTGTGTACACATAAGTATAAAAAATGTTATTAGTAATAATTGTTTTTATTTTTTATTGATTTCACATATATTTTTACGATTGAGCAACGTTAATATTATGTTAATCAACTAAGTATATAAATTATTAAATATGACAATGTTAAATTTAGGTTTTAATATTTTGTTATGTATATATAAAATACACATAATGTTAGAGTTATTAGATTTACTGAAAATTTTTTGAAATGCTGTGAAATGATTGGGATGCATAATGAAATTAAAAAAAAAAAAAAATACAAAAGCTATATCTTTAAATTATTTAATTAAAAATTAAATAGATAGCACTCAAATTTTGGTGTGTTATTTTTATCACTAATATAAAACAAAGTATTGATTGTTAAAAAATTAAAGATTATACAAAATGATCAGTTTATACATTTTTTTTTTATTATATATATATGAAAACATATAAAACTATGGATATTATTATTAAAATATAACTCATTACAGTATTTATTTTATAGCATTAAATTTTATCCAATGTACCTATCAAGTATAATTACGAAAAAGAGTTTTTAAAATGCCTTAAGCCTTTCAAAAGAGTATTATTTTTTTTTTTTAATGTACATTTGCATTAGATATAAAAGCTATTTATATTGATAGTATAACTATTAATTAAGTATTTTTTTTTATTTGAATAACATTAATGTTAACTTTTTATATGTGTGAATTAGATAAATGTATACAATTATATTGTTATTCAACTTTAAATCTGAAAAATATTATTTGTATACGAGTATCAAACAAAAAAATAAATTTTTAAAATAATCTTAGAGTCATAAAAAAACCAATTTCATAAAAATTATGTTTTACAACAATCATAATTTAGCAAAAGTATGTAGATAGTTTAGATTACTTTATCGGAATTCAGAAAAAATCAATTTCATAAATATTGGCTGATTATTAATAAATAATAATATAGCTTAAGATATTTAACAACAATAATCACGATTTTTCAAAAAACTATAATTTTTTTTATTTTCATATGTAATTCAAGTATTTTATTATTGAATCTTAAAAATAATAATTTGTTAAGGTAGCTAATATTACAATCTCTCTATAAATCTTACAATTACTTTTTTTTCAAACAAATAACAAATAATAATTTGAATTGATCATTTACATAGGTATACCAGTCTTTTAATAATCGACAAACATAATAAACTCAAATTTCAGCTTCGTTTTGTATTACGTACCTATCTGATTTAATATAATACAGGATATCTAAATTGGCTACTGAAATATATAATAACTTGAATTTTTAAATTATAATAACCCATTTTTCAAAAATAAAGAGCCTTATAGCCACATAAAAAATAGTTTATTTTACGAAAATTATTTTTTGTTACTTTATTAGTGATAAATTATTATTATCAGTCGTAAAAATATACGTACCAAAATATAACACAACATTTATTATTATGGGACTACCCGGTTCCTGATGACTTTGTTATGCTTTCAAATTAAGCAATTATTAAATTTTTCAACTAAAATATATACATGATACTTCATTGAACGTCGTTCAGTGTTTTTTATTCTAAAAACAAAATATTTTTAATAACAATTTCATAGTATTTAAGGTTTGATATTTCATGTTACTATTTTATGAATAACACAAAATTAGCTCAAGTAAGTAATTAATTTATGTTTACATTTAATTTTATGTTGATCCACCAAACCTCTACACATGTGGCTGACTTTCATGTGCTACTATGTATAATTTAAATTAATTTCATTCACTGATAATCAACAAACAAACGTTTCCCAAAATATCAAATTTTACAAAAATATATAATTTTTGAATTACAACTTGAATACATAATGAATAAGTGATAAAAAAAAGCTAAAATAGCTCCTTCAAGAATTCCAAAGTAATACTATATCCTACTGAATATGTTATGGTATATATTTATCTAAAATCGGTGATGTCCGTTATTCAACAATGTATACCATAATTCTCAATGAATGTTATCAAAATCAACTTAACGTGGTCATACACTGGTGATTATTGATATTTAAAAATTATATTCTTTGAATATTGACCATACTTCAAGTGCAGTGATACGAGCTATTGCATTATGCATACCACGACTGTGATATTATTTATTTAACTTTGTAACCGATTTATATACTTAAAATATAAGTTAAAAATTGGAATTCTGTATTTCAGATTTATTATTAATTATAAATATATACGTTATCGCACGAAACGCTTATATTTACGCTTAATACGCGTTAGTAGTATAGTTAGTACGTCCTATCTATTGACGCGGACGTATAGGTTTCTCAAAATGTCTCAGCAGTAGTTATTGAAGTGAATAACACCTTTTACGAATTTAAAACGAAACATTTTACTATAAATCAACTTTATAAACTAAAAATTGTAAAAGTAGTAGCCAAAGTTAAAGTTTAGTAAAAAAAAAAAAATGCAGTGATAAAAAATGTAGTTGTGACAGCGATGAGGCTTATCTAAATAGTACAACAATACAACTATAATACATGGTACATGCATTTAGATAAAATATACAAGAAACATTTTAAAAGTATAAAAGATACTAGATATATAATAGTATAATACTCCATGTTAAACATTTAAAATTGTATTTTATTTACTATTTAACATAATAAAATAACTTTTACAAAAATTTTAAAATAACACGTTTAATTATAAATTATGTAACACATCTATATGATATATAATAACTACGATAAACCACTATATATTAAAAAATTACATCACACATCATGTCATAAACATATGACTCATAAGTATTTATAAAATCTTCATTAAGTGTTCTATAAACAAAAAAAAAAAATCATACTTGTTAGAATCAAAAAATTTCTATATCATAAAAATACGAATGCATACCAAAACACTTTTGAACCGAAAAAAATGTTTCCACTGTGACATATTAGTAAATAATTGTGTACCCTGGTTTGATTTTAATTTTAAAAATACCTTAAGATTACTTCTAGTACTTAATCGAATTTTTTTTTTCAACATACAACTTCGTCCTAGAGAAGCACAATTAAAAATGTATAAAAAATAAACAATTTGATTAATGTCAAAAATTCATATTTTAAACAATACCTTTACTAAAATGTACAAAATATGTTAAAAAATCTTAAGTTTTTTTTAGAGTTAAAATTGGATCAACCAAAGTCTCATAACTTTAACATAGTTGACTTGAACTACCTTATAAATTATGAAAAACAAATTTAATCATAATTTAACTATAACACTTAAACTTGATTGTAAATTATATTTCTTAACTTATAATTTATTAAAATTATTTAAAATTAGAACTTCACAAATAAATAAAATGGAATTATTAATAAAAGTAAATGATATTTGATATATCTATCACAATACTGATTAACAAAAATAACGATACGTGGATATTATCCACTTGACATTTATACAAACAAATATTTAAATATTATTGTGCTATTTTAATATTATGAAAAAAAAAAAAACTTAATTCAATAAAAACTGAATTTTTTTTAATAAAAACATTCATATTTAAAAAAAAAAAACTAATTCAACTTATATTATTAAATTTATACTTTATATTTAAATTTAATGATTCTATGTATTTTTCGCTTTAAATTTATATTTTATACTCTACTTATGAGCCTATATAAGAAATACCCATTTTCTTAAAAAGAATAAATAAATTATATATTCAAGAAAAAATAGTTGTATATTTTTTAAACGATTTAAAAACTAAATTATTTAACTAAATACAAATATTATTGTTATTTTTATAGAACTATAATATTATTATTTGTTGATTTCATGTCCACTAATTTCAATAAAAAAATAATATAAACCGAATTCATTATATTTAAATTATATTTATATTTTTATATAAATATAAAAATTAAATGTTTGTTTAAAGCACAGTTAAAATTATTAAATACATAATGCATACTTTTGGTTTTTACCACTTATTAATCATACACGTTTTTTTATTTGCTTCAATTTAGTTGTTCAAACTCTTTAGAGTTAAAATGTGTGTTTTTAATACAAGTTAAAAAAAAAAACAAATAACAAGAGATTGCATGAAAATTGTTTTATCAATTCAATAAAATTTAATGGACCAATCAAAGGCCACCAAATCGTGTTTAAGGAATATCACTAGTGATTTATTAAATTTTGGGAATAGTTCATGCAACCCAGAATAAATATTTTATAAATTAGTAAGAAAAAAATCATTAGTATGTAATTTATATAAGGAAACGTTGACAATTTTTATTATTCAATAATAAACTAACTAAGGTAAATAAGTAATGATTAATTTGTCTTCTTACAAATCTGTTATGTATCGTTTGAAATTAAGAAAACATATTATAATATGATGAATTTATATCTTATGATTATAATATTATAATTGAAACAATAGTATTAACACTGCAGTCTGTATCCTGGTGTAGATGTGTATAAAAACCTTTCGATTTATTAAAGTATAATATTTAATATCCTGTATTCAGGGACATTATAACAAATAAATTTTTATAATAAATAACAGTTTACATTTCCAAGAAAATTCATGTTTTGATTGTGCTATGGTTGTGAGTTACAAGTAATTGTACCATTTATACAAACAATATAACTTAATATACATACGAGTAAGCTAAAAATTTTACTTTTCGTCACATCTTGAAATTATAGATTTATAACAAATATTATATTTAAAATTTTCTATTATTTAGTATAATATTGTTTCACGAACTAAATAAATGCTATATAAATTATAAAGTAACGTTATGCACACGCGACTTATAAATATATCAACTAGCATCAATTGTACGTGTTGAGGACTGCGTAATCATATAATTTTATATATCATGTAAAAAAAGTGTAGGTTATGTAAATAACAATATAGGTACAATAGCATAATCCGAATAGGAACACGTGCGTACATGATATGACTAATATTATACGAACAAACATACAAATAACTATTTATTTTAAACTGAGTTAAATATTTCATAATATTAGATAAAAATATGAGTAGATATCAAACGAATTATTTCATTATAACGATTTTAAGGTAGGTTTGTCCTATTATATAATATAAACTTATAATACCTAAATAGTATATTATATATACTAAATAGATTATAGGTATCACTAATTAACGCCAAATTTTACACTTATACATTGTATTTAAAATTAACCATAGCCTAATGATTGTCGACTAACACCATTGAAACGCTAATAGCTTATTAATTATAATAATTTAAAAAATTAAATTAATTTCTCTTAACGAAACTTTATTACTAAACATTTATCTATTTTTTGTACTCAGACAAGAGTTCCAAATAAGGTTTGTGTCTTAAAAAAATTAATTTAAAAAACATAATATTTTTTTTTATACAGATATATTTTTCTATAAATTCTAGCTTTTAGTTTAAATTTTTGATAATTGTATCAATATTAATTTATAATAAAGCATAGATTTTTGACAAATAGTAAATTTACCTAATCAATCATTATACTAATGTAACGACGTATCACGCTTACAATAATACCATATTAGTGTATAACAATATTTTCCAATAAATAAATTTAAAAGCATAAAGAAATTACAAAGAAAGTTTTTAAGTGTAAAAGTAAATAAATAATAACTTATTACGTAGGTTGTAGGTAGGTACCTGCTTTCTAAATTTGAACTTACATTAATTGTTTCCAACAATAACTCATTTGTAGAACATACAACTTTTATTGGTTAGAAATAAATTAACCAACTTTTGATTACAAATCTTGGTAATAATAATAACTTACAATTTTTAGTTTGCCAAATTGCTTAAATTTTCAGAAATAATGCAAAATGTATTTTCCTCATGCATACATTCAATTTCTTTATACAACTGTGTTTATTATGATTATTTATGAACTATAGTTTCCATTAATAATCCCGGTAAACAAAATGACAATTTCGTCAGTTTGACAGTTTTAATTAAACATCACATTATTTACGTCAGTTTTAATTTCATCTGTTAATTAATTCTGTTCTAACCTTAAATTAGAATAGATACATAATACTTTAATTTCGTTAAAAAATGTCGTGTTTTGTATACATAATTATTGTACCAGTCTATAAGAATTCAAAATTACTTCTTTAAAAATTCATTATTACCATGCAATTACATAAATATTTCTTAACCTTATCTTACTTTCTTGTAATATCATGAAAGATCTGTTCAAAATATTAATATAGTATATATAAACTATTTTTTGTTAGCTTACAATTATAACTTTTTTTAAGTTTTATTAGCAAGACACAATTTATTAATGTAGAATTACACCTCGTTGTAAGTTTTTCAATGGGGTATTTTTTTACAAGTAAGAAGTTAAAAATACTGAATTTAATAATCTGCCTTTTTCGTATAATATTTCAGATATTTTAGATGCGATGTACGTTACAGCTTATATTAAAAGGTTTTTGTACGTTTTACATTTTTTAAATAGAATTATTACGTTTATAAAATGTTTTTTTTAACCATAAAAAAATATTCAAACAATTGATAGAATCAACATAAAACGTTCATAGAATATGATAAAAATTTATAAACGCTAACTGGCTACTTACTTATTTAATTATGGAATTATATTTCAGATTCGGTGTTGGATTCTGTTTCACCGTTGTGTATGCTGCATTATTAACGAAGACGAATCGCATATCACGCATATTTAACGCTGGACGACGAACTGTTAAACGTCCTAAATTTATATCACCAAAATCACAATTAGTCATCTGTACAGGGCTCATATCAATACAAGTATGTTATTTTTGTGCAAATTATTGAGATCGGTATTTTAAATGTGTATTTGTTTAATGGCCCCATAATAGTACGATTGCATTAATCTCGAATATTATATTCTAATTTCTAATATTAGTTTTATAACTCACAATATTTCGATCATATTACAATAAATTATATTATATTTTATTTTAAATAAAAATATATTTCAATGAAATTTTATATCAAGTGTATAAAATAAGTAATATTTTATAATTTTAAATTTGTAAAAAAATAGTTTGCAATACCACTATTTTTTGTTTAAAACTAAATATAATCACTAAGATTTATTTTATTGATTTCAAAGATGCTGTATAAAAGTAGATACCTCAACAACTTACTCTCAAATAACTTCAATTCAATTAAATTTTATAATATCTACATAAAGTAATACAGCGGCAGAATTTTAATAACTAGAAAAATGTATTAAAATTACTGATTCATTTTATGATCTACCAATAAACATTTGACTGACAAAGACATGTTATTTAAATAAGAAAAAACAAAACAAAAATAATGCAATTTATCAAATGTATTTAATTAAATACGCCTTAAAATTAAAATTGTGTATGATATTTGCTTTAATACAAGAATATATATTAACATTTTCTTATGATGAATAGATGGAATATTATTAAATGTATAATCTATTTATACACATATTATATGTATATCACATTATAATATATGTACAAGAGTAGTTAATCAAGCATGGTCAGCCTCATTTTTTTTTTTTTTCAATAAATAACTAATTAATTAAAATTCTGAATTTTGGAATTATAAAATATACTCAAATATAATATTATAAAATTTTCGAAATTTTTTTGTACTTACTTAGGGAGTTTTCTGTGAATAATTGAATACTCTGAACAAACTTCTGTTTTTTTGGTTTTTTTTTTTTATTGAAAGCTTCCTTTTTTTCTATAAATTATTAGGTGTACAATTTTATTAAAAATATTGATGCACTTTTATTTAAATTTTGTATGAATTTTTTCTCAGTCATTAAAGTTATATCAGTACTTTGCATGTGTAATCTAAGGGCTCTATGGACACATTTAAACTAAATTAAAATTAAAAAAATATTTATTTTTTTTTAATGTTAATGAACTTGCATATTTCATTTCATAGTTAAAAATAATAATAGATATGAGTTATTTATCAATAATCAAATAAAATATTTTGTCTTATAAAAATTATAAAGAAACACAAAATCAAAAATATAAAATCATCTATACTTAATTTTTATGAGTCATGTATATTTAATGAGCATTCCTTATTTTTAGAGTTTCATATTTTTTTTTCTATCATTAATAATATTTCATAAACGAACGATTTTGATTAAGAATAATAACTCTTAAAAAGTGGTCTTACAATAATATAAAATAGATATAGTATTGAACTGTATCTTCCAAGCTTGTTTTCATGAACAAATTATATTTAGTGAACAAAGTTAAATAACTCAGAAAATTTTCGTTTAAATTTTCATTTTGATACGTAAATTATTTATAAAAACTATTTACTAATACTTAACAGTAAAAAAAAGTTATATTATAACATGATACTCTTTAAGAAGTACAATGAAACTCAGAAATTTGAAAATATGTTTTTCAGATACATTTTAAAATTCCGAAAATTAGATTTTTAGTAGTTGCACCATTGAAGAAAAAAAGATGAGTATGCTTATGAATTATCCAATACAATTACTATGTATAATTGTTTAATATCTTGTTCAAAAAGTACAAAAGTCATGTACTATATAAACTATAAAATTTATAATTACATGATACATAATATAGAGAACAATGGTTGTGTTTAAAATAAAAGATGGGATGGGAATCCTTATGGTTCAAGTTATGACGAATTGTTTACGTGTTCTACAAATACATATGGTTCTCGCACGTGTGAGCACACACTAATAAAGTGTTGAAAATAAATAAAACAAATAAAGCAAAAGTTTTATAATAAGCTATAACCTTAACGTTACGAAAACATCAATACCTATACACGTTTTGTATGGACGATCACGTTTCAGGTACTCATCAACGGCGTGTGGATGCTGGTCAGCCCACCAAAGGTTATACACTATTATCCTAGCAGAGAATCGAATATACTAGTCTGCTCGTCGTTCATCAACACATCGTACGTGATAGCGTTCGGATACCCAATAGTGTTGATTGTCGTGTGCACCGTATACGCTGTGCTCACCAGAAACATTCCTGAAGCTTTTAACGAGTCTAAGCACATCGGTGAGTGATTATTTGCAGTGTTTTTATGTATGTATTGTATAGTAAACCACGATAATCAGGCTGCAATCTTTAGATATTGTCGTAAATTACCGGGGTATAATATGTCATGGTACATATTGATAATTCACGGTAATTGCCATAAATTACCCTCATAAAATGTATAGTAATATATTGTTAATTTAAATAGTTTCCGGAACTTTCCGACATCTACTAACGGACAATGGCTTTATTGTTATTACTTATTATTATTAGTAGTCCAGTTTTACTTGCCGTCTTTATATCTATATAATAATAATAATTATTTTTTTTTATTTTTTTTATGCATATCAAATAATTACTACGAAAAAATATAATAATATTCATTATAACTGATATAACTGATCTCATGATTACTTTTAAACAAAAAATTTTAATCAATTTTTGGTTAATTTGGTGTTTGTCTAATAAACTATGGTATTCGCAAATTTAAATAAAAATAAAAAGATAATATATAAATAGATGTATTTATTCATTTTTATAATCTAAATCTTTTACCATTGTGTTTGAGAATTTATACTTTATAATAACAAATAAATTACTACTCAATAGTAACCTAACAACTTTGTGATTATCATTAACTTCTAGTAAAAAAAAGTGAACGCTCAGATATTACCAAGTTAACCGTAGCAACTTTAAAGATTATAAGAAGATCCATAAAGATTGCCAGCTTTTAAGTATTGTCAGCCTTTTTTTTTTTGTTTTTCGTCTTAATACTAAAAAAATGATTTCTATTGTCTTAGATATCAGTGGTTATCCCGATTAGACGATCAGCACGATTTAAGATATACTGGTCACATAGATAATTTATACCCTTTATTTAATAAAAAGTTTTAAAATAAATTTATGAAGAGACTGTATAGAATATCTGTAAAAAAAACTACAAGTACCCAAATGACCATTTTTCTATTTTGTGCCAACATTAAAAACTAATTAAATAGTTTACTGAATATTTTCACACCCTTTTTTCTTTCATTAATGCAAATATTCCATATCTGATTTTTTTGAAATTTTAAAAATATATATTTTACGAACATACTTTTTTTTGTTTAAATTTGTTTGTACTATTTCTTAAGTATTCTTGGATGATGCAAACTTGCTTATAGTTTTGTATGAAAACTCTTCTTTTCCGCTATGAATCGTATAACAGATATTTTTTCTAAACATTTTTATGTATTAATATCAAAACTCAAAAGTATAGATTTTGATTCATTTAATTTTGTATAACTACGATTATAAGTCCATGATAATCAATTATATTATGTTTTTCTGTGTTGTTTGAAATTTTTTTTAAATAAAAATATATTAAAAATTGCATCCTATAATAGAATATATATATATCAATTATTATTTTAAATTTTATCACTGTAAACGTTTCGGAGAGTAAGTATGGGTCATAGCCTACGTCATTGAATACAGTAGATAGACAATACAAATATCTATAAATATTACAGATATTAGCTTAGGTGCTTATACAATATTTATTTTATATTATTATAATTATATTAAGTATATTAACTTAATAACCTAACGTCATATCTACCAATATATGAGTAGATTATTTGGTAAAAATTTTAATTTTTCTTCTATAGAATGCATAAAAATAATATACCACAAATAAAATTTCGAGTTATTAAATATAAAAAAACTTAATATATAATTGGCTATTTAATTAGAATAACTCAACTAAGTGTTACATTTTCAGAGTAAAATCAAAAGCTATATATTTATAAATAAAAAATAATTTTTTAGAAAACCGTCATAATATTAGTCTGAGAATTTATGAATCTAATCTATCTTGATTTATATTCTAATTACATATTATAGTTAGCTTTTTATCAAATGTACAACTTAGAATACTACTTAAAAAATAAATATACTTGTTTTATACTAAAATCTAGATCAGAAAAATCATGAAGTTCTATCCTAAAAGCATTTATACAATATAAAAGTGAAAACCTCTACGTATGTAACCAATAACAGTAATCGTTTTCACTAAACTGAATTATACTTACCGTAGTTTGTCATAAGCACCACAGCCATTGTTTAAATTGGACTTGGTAGGTTCCGAAAGTATATTTTTTCCACTTTTGTATAAAAAAATTAGCTGACACAATGGTCTATTTTCAATTTTATCCTCCCTCTGTTTCTAAAAAAAAACGAATATAATTTGTGATACTTTTGTCGTTGATTAAAATGCTTAATAAAACATAAACTATCCTAATACTAAATAACCAATTTTCTAAATGGAACTTAACAAACTGCCCTTACGATATTGTACGCACACGCTGTGCGTGAGGAATTATCAAAAAAATCTATCTGTTAGCCCATTTCAGAATTAGGACATTTGTTAAAAAAAAAAAACAAATATGTTGTTGTTACCTCAACACTGTCAAATTAATTAATTAATTAATACTTTTGGCTATGACGCACAGTAAAGAACGGTATACAATCCAACGCTCAGCGTATAAAAAATAACAACAATATTACTGCACGTATTAGTAATTGCTATATTTTATTTTATGTTTCCTGCAGAAGGTATACTTTATTGTTTGTATCGAAGTAAACTTATTTTCTTTTTTTACGAATAAATATTTCTTATAGCGTAAATTGATTACATTTATTATTTTCAATCATATCTTCCGTTATCATTATAACAATATGTAATTACTTACTTGGTATATTTAAAAAAAAAAAGAAGAAAACCCTTAAAATAATTTTTAAATTTTATAATCCTTAATGATTTTTAAATTTGGTTGGTTTAAAGTAATTATCAATAAATAAACCAAATTTATGAAATTTAATATGTTAACATCTTTCTATTATTAAAACTAAAATAACTGTTACCTATTATAGTAAATTATGTATATAACTTTAGTGAGGATGCTAAATAGTAGAATTAAATTGAGAAATTGTATTGTCTGTTCATTTTGTTCGTTCATAATATTTAAAAAAATTCATATTCATATAAAATAACAATAAAAGTATTGAAAACACTAAAATAGAATCTTTAAGAAAATTGAATAAATATTCGAATGAAAACAAATTTTATAATATAACTATACAGTTATATGGATCCACGATGACATCGTAATAACCTTTCTTACATAACTAAAACGCCGGTTGTCGTTTACGCATCGCTTTTGTCAATTTTGACCTTTTTTATAAGACAGTAATGCATCGTTCAATTTTTGGGTTATACATCATTTACGCATCAATATTATTTAACAATAGAACTAAAAAAAGGTGTTTATCCAAAAGTGCTAGTTATTTTCTAACTTTGATCTTAAAATTTGTACATCTCCAAATTTACTCTCGTAACATTCAATGTTCAAATATTGTAAAGATATTTCAACTTTAAAATATATAATACAAATTATTATTATACAATTCTATTGTTGAGCATGTTGATGTGCGCTTGATGTGTGATAATTGGGTACAGGTAAAACGAACGATGCGCAAATGATGTAGGTACTATATTTTGCACAGATAAATAGACGATGCAGAAATGATGTACGACCGGCAGTAAAATATTTTAAATCAAACGTTTTAAAGTAAAAATAATTTTTACGTGATTTTTGTTGGTTATTGGTAAAATACTAAAACATCTCAATGATTTATTAGATAATGTCTAAGTTTTTTATTTTATATAAATTTAGTAAAATTATATCAATAAACATTATAATAGCACATATAATTAGCACTGATGCGCAAATGATGTACTATATTTTGGCAAAGGTAAACAGACGATACGATAATAATGTACGGCCAATTAAAATCATTTCCTTTTACTTCAATATAATGCTATTTGGTACTTAATACAACAAATATCTATTAGTTTGATAAATTTATTGCCTTGAATTACTACTGTTAAATAGTTTTAACTTAAAACTTTTAAGTATCTTAACAAAAACAATTTATTATTTTTTGAATAAATTCAAACATTATATAAATCATATTATTTTATAAAATTATTAAAATTACTTGATAAAAGATTGATTTTCAATTTTAGTATTTTAATATTTATTTTGGTAAATTTTTATTATTTTTTGATATTCGAGTAAAAAACTTCTTACTACTTTTAAGTAGATAATAATTTTTCGTAGATGTAATTTTTTTTTTTTGTTTTATTTATTTAAATGGTTCTATCTTATTGTCACTATGAATATATTAATATTTAATTGTATATAACAAATAATAATTTAATTAAAAATGAAAAATGTAACAAAGATCATAAAACGTGCTGCCTGTCAGTCGTAAAGCATTATGGTTTTATACCTAAAAATAATTTAACAAGAAGAAATGTTTTAGAGTAAGAACTAAGAATTCAACAATTGACAATTTATTGTTACGAGTTTTATATTGCTAATTCACTCAAGCACAACATGGAACTATAAATTATAGGTACGTAGATAAATAAAAGTTTAAATAACAAGTGATGCAGTGGTAATATGTTGAAAACTTAACAATAACTAACGTTACATATTTTAATCAATTACCTATGTAAAAAGTATACTTTATTTATTTAAATTTTTATAGACAATAATATATTTGAGAGTGAACATAACATATTATAATTATTGAAATATAATGTAGTCAAATATAAATCATTTCATTTACGGAAAAAAGCATATATTTTTATAGTAATATTAATGTAACTGATTTGATTTTTACACTTGCTATATTTTACAAATCATGTTAAAATAATAAAAATAATAATATAGTAATTTTGTCATGTTACTACAGACATTAACGAAATGTTTGGTAACATTAATTTACAACGATTTGAATTTTGGGTAGAAAAATATGAAACAATGTTAACAATTTCGTTGATCTAAGATCTAGGAGCATACACTTAACATGCAGAAAACGTAATCATGATAGCATTCAATAAATAGAAAAATTAATAAATTTATAGGTATAACTAGCAGTCTTTTTCATAAACATACATAATGTATAATAAA